TCACTATGTACAGAATTCGTGCACAACTAAACTTTGGTTGATGTAATATATTTATAGGGAAGTCTAGCAAGTTTTATTGGTAAAAAACATAGATAATTGAGTTAATAAGTTGTAAATAATATAAAAGTTGTAATAGCAACAGCTACAATGAATAATTTTGATCAGTATAAAAAAAATTGTTGTTATTATCATTATTTAGTCATTTTTGAAACGTAACCCATCTTTGCTGTATACTGTACATTCATCAATTACTGGGTCATTGTTAGCATTGTAGCTGACAGTATTTTAAAGGAAAGAAATTTGAATTTTTAAGGTAACCCCGGAACAGTTGTAATGTTGTCACTTGATGAAAACAAGCTATTAATTAGAACTTCAGTTGCCTGACACTGAGTGAATTAACACACACAGTACACCAACTCACACCTTTCAGTAGATGATAATACTGATGCTATGAAGTGTAACTGCAGTTTTGAAAACCAATATTACTACTTTCTGCCCCGATCTATTATGTGCTGATACAACACAAGTATAATTTTGTTCTCGGTTGTATTGCCGTCCGCTCAGTTTTTTTTTTGTTGTCTTGACGCTAATTAATTCAGTGATGACAACCGACTGAACAGCGATTTAATGATACAGATTTTCAGAAATAGTCGGAAGCAAAGATTTTATATAATCTTATCTTTCCAAATAAGATCTGGAAATATTATTGATAAGCATGTGCCGTCAAACAGAGTGAGCCTCTTTTCGGTTTGTCGGCGAATATTGTAAATACCACGCTATGATCAGTCGTCGTCCGTTTCACAGTTGTCCTATCCTATCTGTCTGTCCGTTGCGGTTATGGCGGTAGAACAGCAGTCGATATCGACGGCCTGGCCGTCCTCGACTGAGTCGTTCCTTCGTAGTTCCTTCCCTCCTTTTCCTCTGTCATCTCCATTGTTCACAAAATCGCCTGCATCACTTTAAATTATTTTGGCACTGTCGTGTACACCGCTGTTTCAAATAGTGCGTCGTTTTTTACCTTGGTTTGGAAAACTCAAAATTTGGGAAGAAGTCGATCTGTTTATTTTGTTGTCACCCGGTTAGTTTATCTAGTTTGTTTTTTCTCCATTCAATCACTTTTAATATGCATATCAGAAAAGGAAGAACCGTTTCCGTTTAATTATTTTTTCTGATTTATGAACTAATTTGTTAACAACTTTTACAAAAGGATTTATTAGGATCAAACAAAGAAAAACGAAAGAAAAAAAAGAATCATTTTTTTAGTATAAATTTACTTCTTTTTCATTTTTTTTTTCAAATTGATTGGTTGTGAAAAGTGTATATTTTTTCGCCATCTTGATTTGTTAAGGAAAGAAAAAAAGGACAGAAAAGATGCTTTATTTATTTATTTATTTATTCATTTTTTTTTTTATAGATTTTTGTGGTATATTTTTATAATATGAATATAATGCGCGGTGTGCTATGTGCGGGTTAGACGTTATTGCCGGCATTGCTGTAGTTGTCCTGGTTGCTGCTGTTGCTGCTGTTGTTGTTGCTGTTGCTGCTGCTGCTGTTGTTGCTGGTAGTGCCGTTGCCGTTGCTGTTGCTGTTGTTGGTAGTGCTGGGTATAGCTGTTGCTGCTGCCGCTGTTGGTATTGGTGCTGTTGCTGCTACTGCCTTCTTCTTCTTCTTCTTCTTCTTCTTCTTCTTCTTCCTCTCCGTCTTCTTCTTCTTCGTCTTCGTTTTTTTCTTCTTCGCCTTCATCCTCCTCCTTCTCCTCCCATTGCTCAATTCCATCGTCAAAAAGCTTCAACGTTTTCATTGCGGTCAAATTGATGCAAATTGGCAGGCAAGTTTTTTTTTCTTGTTGATGTTGTTGTTGTTATTAGACATCCCTTTTTCTCTATCACTTCCTTTGAAAAATAAAAAGAAAAAAGAAGAAATTTTATCCTCATCTGCTTTCTTGTGTATTTTATTGTTAATATCTCTACTGTCAGCTTAATTAATAAATATATTGTTGTTATTTTCTTTTTTTTAATCTAACTCTTCAACTTTTGATGCTCTTATTTTTGTCGGTCATAACAACAAAAGCAATTATCTAAAGAAAAAGAACAGGAAAGAAATAAGTAGATAAAAGAAGAGGCAAAAAAGGTGAAGTTTTGGCTTGTTGTTGTTGCAGTTTTTTCGTGCTGTTGTTTAGGTGACTGTCTATTTTGATTGGTGAAGAAACGGAGGAGAGTGAAGGAAAAAATCGAAAAGGAAAAAGAGAAAAAAAAAGCAAATCTAAGTGTTAAGAAACTAAGTTTTCCAGCATTTTTTATCCCATTTTTATCACATCTTTTTTTTTTTATTGCTGTTTTCTTCACCCCATTCTTGCCTCATTTTCTTGTCCTACGCAAATCTGACAACAGATTTTGGTTGTTGATCTCATTGTTTATTAGTTGTTGATAGCTGATTTAGTTTCGGATTTAAAAGAGCTGACAAGGGGAGGGCAAAAGGAAAAAAAAGGAAGAGAAAAGCGTTTTTTCTTATGTGTATTGTAATTGTCAGCTTAAATTGTTCCACTACTGATTAGCTGTCTTCGTTGAATGTTTTGTTGCATCGTCTAACCATTTTTTATCGTTGTATTTTACACTTTAACTTTGTATCCTGTCTATTCTTCTCATTTTTTCCTGATTCCTTACTGTAATCATTATACTCTGTATTTTTTTCTGCCTTTACTTTCTTGCTTTTATATTGCATAATTTACATCTAACATCCATTATTACTTTTTATCCTATTTTTTTGCCATTTTGTGCAACCATCAATTGTGACTGCTGTAACCAGAAGTAAACGGTAGCAGAGGATGTTGAAGTCATTTGGTGCAACTACTTCGGTACGTAATTTTTTTTTGCTTCATATTTTTCATATTACCCATTGCATATATTATTTTGTATTAAAATTAAGGACAGTTTTTTTAGTCAGCACGAAATTTAGCGTTGATGTAGGTTTATGAAGAGAAAGAAGAGTGAGGGGGTGGGAAATTGGAAAAGAGAGTTTAATTGCTGATATTGATGGATATCGCTGTTGCCGTTACCGTCCCCTGTTGCGAATAGTACCATTATTATTGCTACTCCTTACTGCTGCTGCAGGCTTTTCCTGCTGGTAACTGTGGCTCAAAAAAATTAGAGGAGTTTTTGTATGAATACAAAAAATTATATGCTGAGCAGTTTTTCTTTTCTTTTTTTTCCCGTTCCATCAATTTGATTTATTTTCTTTTCAGTATGATGCCAGCCTATTTTTGTTGCAATTTTTTTGGCACAACTCTTGTAGTGTTTCAATTTTGCAACAATCTTTTAAGCTTTACTACCGATATACGCAGTCCTGCTTTTTGTTTGTTTCTCTGAACAACTTTATCAACCTTTTTTTTTGAACGGATTCTCTTTGGAGCTCATTGTTGTTTTGGAGCAACTGGGTTAGGCATTCCTCAATGTATTCAACTGCTACCCTGACTAATAATGTGCATTTTTATTTATTCTACATTTTTTTTTTTCAAAACGAGGAGAAGACAGAAGGAATGTTTGATGACCGGGTAATTGTCTTAATGCAAGCGGTTTTTTTAACTTGCCCGCTGAGTGTCAATTAGGTTAACGGCATCGAAGTGGCTTTTAATTTTTAACATTTTTTGCCTTTGTCCTTTTTGGTGGATTTTCTAAAATGAAAATTATTGCTAAAAGTAGTGATGGTAGTTAGGTAAGGGTATTTTGTTGTGTTCTGTGCATTTCTATTTTCTCCATACTTTTTTGTTACTTAATCGAAGCGAATTCATTACGTTTACTATTAATTTTTATTTTTTTTTATTGCCAGACATCCGACAACGTTACAGCAGTTAGTTTGGCGGATGAGACTATGCCAAATGGAACAACAACGTTCACACGTTCAGTAAATGATAAGTCAAGGTAAATAATTCGTCATTTTTGCGTTTTGAGGAGTGTATAACTGGAAAATCGGTACTTTTTTAAACTGCTTCTGTTGGTTGAGAGTCAGGTCTGCTGGGTAATTCTTTTTAATTTGAAAAATAATATTTGTTTTTTAAATTATTTGAAAAAAAATGTATTGGCGTTCGTAAACCCTCCAAAAGCCTCTGTTTTTCTTACTTATTTGTTGAGATTGACATCGATTAGTTTTAAATGTATAGAAGGATGTGGAAGATATATGAGCTTTAAAAGCAGCTGTTTAGTAAGTGATTTGAAAAAGAAAGCTTTTTTTTTTTTATTTTCTAGTGGCTTTAACTGTGCAGTAAAAGGTGGAAAAATTTTGGGACTTTTTTTTTTGTAGTAACAACTTTTTGACAGGTCAGTGCAACAATTTTTCCCGTTTTTCTTTTGTATGTGTCGGTATTGCTATCGTATTGTTTGCTCCATAAAGTGTGCATTTAGCTTTTGGTGCTTTCATTTTACTGAAAGTTTTTGATCGGCTGCCGAAAAATAAGAAAAATGAGTAGCATCAATGTCTTGTGAAGGTTAGGTTAATCAGCGCTCTGCGGGTGGTCTTAGCGGACATTGGTCAGTATCGGTGCGCGTAGGATTGATGGTGGTGCTGAGCGTTGCGACGAGGCAAGCTATAGTTCAAGAGAGTTTAAAAGCTGCAGAGCATTTAACCCAAATTTTTATCACTAAAGCTTGAATGTTTTTTTTTTCATTATTATTTCCCGCTTGTAAGGTATTTTGATTTGTAATAATTGGTAATGCTCAGCAAACTCAGACTTGTTCAGACTTTTTTAGTTGAATGGATTATTGATTAAAGACGACCACAGTATTGGAATAGCACAGCCATTTTAGCAACAAACGTTTTTTTTTTGCTTTTGTTGTCGTTGTCCCTCTTTTCGAGATAATCATTTTGACGCACAAAAAGTTCTACGGCCAGAAAAAAAAAGAAAAAAAAAAAATGAAATTTATAGAAATTTTCAAGACGAAGTATTGCAATATACACCACTGCCATCATCAGAAGATTACTGTATCGCGACAAGTTTATCGTTCAAAATGGAACCGTATGTTAGAGGGTAAGCAACTGTCCACCACAGAAAGATCACTGAGTGTTTAATTCACGGAAAGACTTTTTACATGGAAAGCATTTAGTCTAAGGATCTTAAAATAAAGTTGCAACATTTAGAACTGGTTATAGGTCATTTTACCTTCATTTGCGATATCACAGTAATGTGTTCTTCCCTCTATTTTTAAATGTGTTTTGAACTACTTTTTTCCAATAAGTTTGTTATTCATTCAGGAAGCTGTCTTTTGAGGACCCACAAATTGAGAAGAATCGGCATGGCGTTACGCCAAGAATGTTGGAGGCATGGTTTTCCACTTTTTTTGTAGATATTAATTTACTCATTCTGTTGTCTTCAATGTTGGGTTAACTGTTTTTTATTGTTTTCAGGTCTATGATTACCTTACTTTAAAACTGGAATCAATCTACAACGGCCATCCAGTGAGTTATCCTTTTTTTACAAATTTATCTATAGATGGTTTCTTTTATTATTATTACTTATTAATTTTGTCTGCTCTGTTAATTTTGACCATTTTTTCTCCAAAAATGAAGTGAAAATTTATAGTTTTTGTAATAAAAATGTTCATTATCAGTTACATGGACCTATTTGTAGCGGACGGTTCCTCGATTATACAGTAAAGAATGGAATATACATTATTCTAAGCTCTGTCCAGATGACAGGAAACGAGAAGATAATGATAATGACGACGTAAGTTTGCATTTTGACATTTTTCTTTGGTAGAAAATGATTTCTTATAATGGTTAATTGAAACAGTTTTTTTCTATCGTTCGACTCGATTTGGTTTTAAGAGAACCTGATTAATATTTTTTTGTAAATTATTTTTCACCAACAAAAAATCAGTTTATATTTCAGGGCGATGAGAAACGCTCAAGAAAACGTATGCAACGACTTGACAAACCAGAAAAGCAGAAAAAAATGAAGTTTAGCCGTGATCGAGATTAGTCTTCTGGTGCAGTCTCAACTGTATGTTTACGCAGTTTACGTTTGGCTTATATTCCAGAGTACGAGTTAATTTGAATACGATACTCTTTAAACCTCAAGTTATTATTTGCATTATTTAATATAGGAGTGGCGTTTTTTTAGATGCAATTACCTCAGGTTGCTCTACATTTTAAAAGTACTTTTATTTTATTTTTGTCTTTAATATTTCTCATTGTAAATAGGTTTTTTCTTCCTTCTGAAAATTAACAAAGCACTATGAAATACTAGTATTATATTTGTTGCATTGAAATTTGCGAATATTTTAACAGTGAAAGATTGAAGATGAAATCTCATTTTGGTTGTATCTCACAGTTTGGAACTTAAGGTTTACTTGTTGTAAATGAGCTTTGTGTTGGTTTTACTGTATATTTATTGGTCACTGGTTAGTTGCTAGAATTAATTTCATGCATTGCAACATTTGATACAGAGGAATGTTGAAAAAAATGGTTTACTTTGGCCGCTTAGTTTTTTATTATAACCAAACTTATTGATGATCTGCAGCTGTAGAAGAAATCACATTCAATCATTCCACAGTTATATGCGTTTTATTGATAATTATTAGTTTGCAGATGAGTAATGGCACTTCTAAACTTTTTTTTTTTTATTAGATTCTGTCACGCTTTAAAGAAAAAAAAATTTTTCTTTATAGACTTAATTTAAGTTTTTAGTTAGCGGGAACAGTGTAAAGCAATCACCTATTGAAATTGACAATAAGGTTTTTCTTCTGGTTGATTTATTATATAATTGAAAATTGTAGAATAAGAATTTTTTTCGCTTTTTTTATTTTTTATTTTTTATCTATTTGTTCATGTATATTGTTAACAGTAATATTTTTTTTTTCTTTTTGCAGAAAGCTGCTAGTCGTGATCAGATTCATCTTAGTTTCCTTATGAGCTTTTTTTTGCTTTATATTGATATACATTATTGGCCGTTTTGAGAAAAAAAACTAGGATTTCCCTTTTTAATTGATAAGTATCGATGATAATGTTGCCATATTAACAGTAGTTTTATCACAAATATCATGTTTTGTTCAAATTTATTTGCATTTATCAACAAAATCACTGGGGGATGGACGATGAAAGACTCGAATGTAAGATGAATGTTGATATTGGTGTTGCTGGAGGAAGCTGAACTAAACTGAAAGTATCGTTTTTTTTTTTTTTTGGATTATTAGCAAGTAGTATTCATTTCTTCAAGGTAGCGCAGGGCCTTTTTAACATTAATTTTAACTTTTGGATCGTTATTGCAAAGACAGTTACACAAAAGTTGCTTTCAACCGAATAATTTGATTTATAGAATGTCATTGTTGAAAATGATTCTCGTAATATTTAGTTTGATTAATAGATCTGTATTTTTTATAAAATGATTTCAATAACTGTTATATCAGTACTTTTTCTTGCATTTTGTTTTTTTTTTTTTTCAGATTTAATGATGGTATTTGCCTTGACATTATTAATTCCGAGTAACTTTGTATTTGTTTGTACTTTATAATTGTCATTTTATGTTTTCGTTATTTTTTTCTTTCTTTTGGTTGGTATATACGGGTAAATTTGTTGACGTATTCAATGCAGTAAATGTTTTTTTTTTTTTTTTTGCATTAAAGT